GTGTTTGTGTGTGTGATTGTATAAATATATATATATATCTTATATATATTATATGATGTGTGTGTATTCTATATATATAGTATAATATTACTACTGTATATACTATATATATTAATATATGTGTAACTATGTAATGTGTGTTGGTGTGTGTGTGTGTGTGTGTGTGTGTGTGTGGTGGTGTGTGTGTATCTATATGTGTGTTTGTGCGTGTGTATGATTGTTTATCCATTATATCAGGAATAGTATTATATATATATATATATATATATATATTATATATATATATATATATATATATATTGTGTGTATGTTTACTGTGTGTAATGTTGTTTATTTCTTACTTATGTATGTATAGATATGTATGTAATGTTATTATATTCAATAATGTTGGTGTTAGGAGTTCCCCGAACAAGGACGGCCCCGAAGCCTGACCCGGACCATCTGGCCACGCGCGGGACACTCGGCCAGGACACAAGTGCTCCCTTCCCCCCCTCGCTCCCTCTCCGTCCCCCTCCTCTCTCCGCGGATGGGTGCTGTTCGCCACTCTTTTGCTAACTATCATAGATTTTCTTTCTCTTTTAAATCGTTAGTTTTTTGTGTTGAATGTATGTAACAATGTGACCTCGTCTTTCTTTAATATATCATCAAGTTTTCTTCGCAAGGAGCAAATGTGGCGTAGAGAAAAAATCTTATTGTTAAAACGATAGTTGGAAGCGAGCAGCAACCTCATCCGGATAGTCATGTTTAGACCACATTGTCTCCAAACTTGCCCCCGCCTCTTTTTCTCTAAAGCCCCGCCCATTATTTACTTCTGACCAATGGGATTCTTGCTTTTGGCCGATATTTCCGCCCCATATTGATTACACGACGCCGCTGCACCAATGAAATTTCTCGCTGACAGGAAGACTCCGCCCATAACAATGGCCAGGCCTTCTGGGTTGCCGATCGCGCGGGTACAAGTGCGTGTAATTATTGAATTAAGCTTATCATTTGATTTCTCCTCGTGGTGGTGAGCACACGGCACTAAGAGACCGTCACTAATATCATCAGTAATAATTTGATATCATCTGTAATAATTTGATAGGCTCGCTGATCCAATTAGGCGAGCGACTTGAGGAGTTGCATTAATAACGCAATTAGGAAAGGACTTCCGAGAGACTTCCGCTTCTTCCTCCTCCTTGGCCTCACCTGAGGTTTGACCGCGTGGAGTTTTCCTTGGTGTTGTCTGCAGCGTATTCGAAGGAGCACCTCCCGGCGGCACCCGAAGGGCACTCTCGCGTCCCCCGCAGGATGGACTACGCCTACCTCAACCAGGCGGCGGCGGCGGGCTTCGAGGCCTCGTCCTGCAGCCTCGGAGGCAGCTTGGGCGGCTCCATGGACGGCGCCCACGCCCCTTACACGTACGGCGACCTCACCTCCTGCTCGCAGTGCCCTCGGGCGTACCGCTACACGGCTCGGGCGTCAGGGGCTACAACGCGGGCGTGCCACGCGCGTGGGCGTGGGATCCCAGCAGTGCGGCGTGATGGGGCGGCCCCAGGACCACCGCGCCATGTTCCCCGCGTCCGTCACGCCCGTCAACCTCCAAAGTAAGTCACGCTTGTCCTCTCGTCACAAGGCTCAGAGTCAAGGCAGGTTGCTCATGCCGTTGGCGACCCGGCCGGTGTCACGGCCGCGTCACGTGCCCCCTCTACGGGCCTACGGGCCTCCTGTCACGGCCTCCTGTCACTTGCTCACCTGTCATAATTGCCGGCTGATTCTCGGTCACGCTTAGGTTAAATCTAACGTGCTGTTAAATTTTACTTGA